TGCGAACTTCCAATCACGTCTCAATGGCCAGCCTTGATTTATGTGCTGTGTTTCAGCTGACCCCTGGCTAGGTGAGTGGGACTCCCATGACTGAGTCAAGCAACCAGGCTTCTCTTTGGGCAGGGGACAAGTCTTGCTCCCCTCATGCCCACGGCTACACGATGTGGGGAGGACACTAGAGCAAAGTCCCAGATCCCCTGGAAAGGAGAGAGAAATTGGCAAATGTTATTGGGTGACAGCTATTGTGAACTGCTGTATTGTTGGTCTCCTGTATCCATGGTTTCCACATCCATGATTCAACCAGCCCCAGATGGGAAATATTTGGGAAAAAATCATGTATAGATATTTTGCTTGTCATTGTTCTCTAACCAGTAAAGTATAACAACCATTTGCATAGCATTTATGTTGTATTTTGTCCTATAAGTAATCTAGAGTTGATTTAAAGAATATAGGAGCATATGCATGGGATGTATGCAAGTATAATAGATTTCATACAAGGGACTTGAAAACCCACAGATTTTGGTCTCCTGGAGAAGGAAGGGGAGGTCCTGAAATCAATATACTGCAGATACTGAAGAAAATTGCAAATGGTTAAGTTTGAACAGTTCTGGATTAAACAAAACTAAACAAATTTCTTTATGAGATAACTGCTCAGAGCTATACCATGCTAACATACAGCACTTCTAGGAAGAGATAACAGTAGTCAACATTTTAAAACTTATTTGACCTCAAAAAACTTCTTCCTCCTATCAAATATCTATTAATATTTATAGGAGCTTAGTCAAAATGCATTTTAAGAAATGCTTAACACTAACTCTAAGATATGTCCCAATTCTAATATTCTGTGATTACCTATAAAACTAGATGAAGATTTGTTGAAATGAAAGAAGCCTATAAATATAGCTATTTGAAGCTGAATATTGGAAACAACCCAAATGCCCATCAACTGAGGAATGGATAAAAAGGATGTGGTATTTTTATATAATGGAGTACTACTCAGCTATAAAGGAGGATCACAATGGAGGCTTTTATGGGTAAATGGATGTGATGAGATCATACTCACAAGTGAAATAAATCAAACTCACGTGTAAATACCATATTGTCTTCCTGGTGTAAGAAACTGAAAGAGTAAACAAGATACAAAATCTTCAACAAATATTCTGAAAGGATAAGGAACTGCTCAGAGAGGAAAAAATAACTCACATAGGGAAAAGAAGGAAGAGACAAAAAAGCTATAAATTTGTATATATACACTTAAGATTACTGAGATGACTGTACTACTAATTCTATTAGTTGTTGGAACAAAACAGATGATATCTGTAGGATCTGATCAATTTCACATGACTATGTGAGTACTTGGAGTAAGACTTTCAAAGAGAGCTATGCAAAACAACAAAATAAGTCATGTTCCTACCACCTTATTTTGAAAGCCTACACTGTTACTGTTTTGGGCTGTTTGATATAATTATTTACTTGACTCTTGTTTCTTGTTTTTCTTATACTTTGTTTTGTTTTTCCCTCTAATATAGAAAGGATAGATGTACATGCATAGGCTTATATAGGCCTAGAACTTCACCTAAAGAGTTTACAAGAATTGATTTTAGTATGTGTGATGGTGTGAACAGCTACTTTGAAGAAAACAAGGCATCACGGTAGCCTCTGCTGATTTCCTATCATTCTGTTTTGAAGTCTAATAATGCTTTTAGTCTTGGTTTTGATTGGTTTTAGTCTGTTTTCAATTATTTGATTTCAGTATATGTGAAGTTATGGACAGCTCTTTTGAGGAAAACAAGAGACATTATGGTGGCCATTATTGATTTCCTATTGTCTAGTTTTGAAGACTCGTAAGGCTCTCATTCTTTTGTTTTGATTGCCTTTATGCCATTTTGCTTTGTATTAATTTATTGTGTGTGAAGGTATGCACAACTATTTCGAAGAGAACAAGAAACATTATGGTAGCCACTGTTGCTTTCCTGTTGTCCTGTTTTGAAGTCCTGTGTTATTTGTGTTGTTTTACTTTAATCTGTTTTGTTCTGCTCTGTTTTGTTTTATTAAAAAAATAGCTATTTTATTATTTCTGGTCTCTGCACAGTACAGATGATACACTCAAACTGGGGAGATCTAATGAGTAAACCATTCAAAGCTTTGGGGGAGCTGCAGGAGATAGCGCAGTGTTTTCTTGTGCCTGATGAGGTAAAGGAAGCAGGTAGATCACAGAAGTGGAGACGGAGGGATTGGCCTAAGCAGAGCTGTGGCCCTACTTGGGGGACGCGGTTGGTCCAAGCATCCATGGCCCCAGGTGCTCCCTGCTCCCTGCTGTGCTTCAGATTTTCAAACTGGAAGGTGGTTGATGTAGCCCAAACCGTCAGTCTTCTGGGGAAAATGAAAGGTATTGAGGTCAGCTCCTCTCCGTCTCCTTCCATCTTAAATGTTCTTCTGGAGTCATCTTAATATGATGGTAAAAGGCACAGAGCCTGGGAGCCTGGATCAGACTCTGGGCTCCACCCTTAGTTGTTCACTCTTCTCAGTCATTTTGACAGTTTCAAATACCTCTTATGCCTCAAGTATGTTCTATAAGACATACGGTGCAAGATTGTTATGATGGTTTAGTATTTCTTTTTTTTTTTTTTTTTTTTTTTGGTACTGGGGATCAAACTCACAACCTCATGTTTGCCAGGCAGGCGCTTATGCCACTGAGCTAAATCTCCAGCCCCATGATGGTTACTTTAGAAAACCCATAAAAAGTGCCTGGCTCATAGTAGGTCCTCTAACAGATGTTGTTTTGCTTTTTCCTTTCCTCGCTGTGCTATTTGCCAAATATAAATTGAGAAATGACTGAGGGCTAAGACTGTGCAAGTTAGATGTTCTTTAACCACAGAAGGTGTTTGGCCTGTGTATTGGGATGCAGTTCTATGCCAGGTAGGGCTAGACGACACATAAGGTCTTTTGCCTCCTGGCCACTAAGAACACATTCTTCACCAGGAGATGTTGGTCACTTTGAACACAGCACAGATAACTCATTCATCCTTCGAGTTTTTTTTTCTCCATCAAGTTTGTCCAACCTGTTGGAATCACTCAGGAAGGTTTTGAAAACTGCAGATTTCAAAATTTCACCATAAGTCTCCTGAGATCATTGGCACAAACTTGGGGATCCTGTTGTAGGATTTCCTCTGAGGCAATTCTGACAATTCTGAGGACACACGTGCTTCCCTCCACCCTGCATGCTACTGAAATGTTGACATTTTCGTTTGGCCTCTTGAAAGAAGGAATTGGAGATGAGAGACCAGTCACAGTTAACATCATTTGCAAACATAAACTCAGAGTCAGTCAACACAGCATCAGGATTTAATCAACCAGGAAAAGCAGCATATCTCCAGGGAAAATGTTCCTCCCTCTCTATTGTTTGCAGAATACCGATGGGTTGGTGAATTAGTTCTGACTCAGAGTCACTACGATATAAACTGTAAATAACAGGCTAATCCTGATGCCTTTAGTCATCAAGGCTCTTGGAAAACAGGATGTCTGGCTCATTCCCTTTCTCTCAAGTCTTTCTGTTCTCTTCCTTTGCCAACTCATTTAATCTTAAAGTCCTTAAGCCAGGTACAGTGTTGGAGACAACTATGAAGCAGCTCTGAGCAGGATTTAAATGTTCCTAATTGGCTTTCTAGGTTTATCTGTGAGTCTGTCCTAGGCCTTGGCCCCTTGCCTGGCAATGGGAGCTGATTCACAGTAAGTGAACCTCTATGAATCACTGGTCCTGGCTGAGGTCTGTAGTGGCCTGTGAGGCCAGAGATGCATCAAAGGGCAAGATAAGGCCATAGCTGCAGACACCTTGGCTCAAACATCAATTAAGCAAACTGAGACTGCAGCTGTGGGCATCTCACTCCTGCTGTCTCACTCCTACCATAAACGTCATCATGGACGTAAGACAGTTCTCCTAAACTGACATAATTTACTACTCGGAGAAGTCTTTGATCTGACTCCCAAGGTCCTGCTCATTTCCCAGCGGTTTCCTCAGTATCCCCTCTCTTTGTTTAAAGATGTAATAAATACGGGCCACCCAGAGAAGCTCTTTGTCTCAACCCTCGTCTTAGCCACAGAGTCAAGAACTCTGCAAGAAGGTTTGATCCTCCTGGAGCCCTAAAATCATACCACTTATCCCATTTATTTAAGCCTTTACTATACACTCTTTTGGAAGACTGGGGATCTAGGCCAGGGCCCTGATAGTACAGCAGAGCAGGCATCCTGGGTGGTGTTTGTAGCAAAGTCATGAACACCCTGGGAGCTGGTGAAGAGGCAGTGTGCCTCAGTGGGTGTGTGCCCAGCACGTGGTATGGGCTTGAAGAGGTGAGAAGCATGTGGCAGTGTGTGTGTGTGTGATATGCATGCACATGTGTGCACACACAGCAAGACCATCTCATGCTGGGGTCTGAGCTCACACTTGAGTGAGACATGCAGTGGGTGGGGACGGGAGCTGAGCCTAAGCAGGAAGAGGAGGACATCTTGAAAAGATGGGGATGGTGCAGAGGTGGGAGGTGGACTATGTTCAGGTGGTCCAAAAAAATAATTAACCTGTGTCATGCAAAAACATGCTGTTCATGAAAGTAAGGACAACTTTGAGGAACTGTTCTAAACTGAATGAGGCAAAAAAAATGTGATTCTGAACTGGGACCTTTGCGACAACAGGGAAGATTGGAAAAACTTGAACAGCATCTGCACCTGAGGAGTATTACTGGCAGTGAAATAATGCTGATCTCCTGATTTTGATACTTGCATGTAGTCACAGAGGGGAGAATGTCCTAGTTTGCAGGAAAGCCGCGCTAATGCGCCTGGGGGGGGGGAGGGGATGAGCATCATGACAGCTTCCTCTCAGAGGAAGGCAGAGCAGACCACCTTTACACATTTGTACAGTTTTCTGGTTGCTAAAAACATTATCAAGAGGAAGAAAACCCCAGCAGGGTAAGACTCTTGTAACAAATTACAAGATCATGATATGTGTATGCATTATTTTAGAGCTGGTTTATTCAGATCCTAACACTGAGAAGATTTCTACATAATGGCAGCATTTGCTGTCATTTAAATACACTGATAGAAAGAAAAAGATGTCACATGTCACTTTTTGCGTATGAAAGTAGGTAGTACCACTTGGACCACAATTGCTAGAAAAAACAAATACTCTTTACTGAGGAATTTAAAAAACCATTCATCAAGTCTGTTGGGTAGGCTTGCAGACATGCCTTGTTATGGAATGACTGGGTTAAAACACGCTGTCTATCAAGTCAGCACATGTGATATAGCAAGAAAGCTTAAGGAAGTCTGACACTCGGGACTCCGAGCTCTCTCCTTGTGTCCTAGGAGCAGAGCTTGGGGCCTTCGTGTCTGTCTGACTCAGTCACTGTGACACACACACGGGTCCTCTCGAATGCCCATGGACTGGTTGCCTCTTCTTAATACCCATCTTGAAAGCAACCTCCTAGGACTGGAGATTTCGTTTAGGTCCTTTTCATCCTAAGATTCTTTATTTTATGACCAGAAGGAAAGATCTTCTTCTAAAAAAATTGTTTTATATAGTTCCACTAAAGCCCGGTACCTAAAAATTTTCATTCCCTTCAAGGTAAGATGTTAGTTGGTCACACTGACCCCGATCCACAAGGCTTAGTGGAATCCTTCTGCTCTGAAGTAGTGTCAGGCGTAATAGGTTCTTTTTTTCTTTCGTTCTTTTAACTAGGAACCTTCTGTCCGTGGTTTGGCCCTCATGTTTTTGCCCTGGTTCAGAGGACATCATCATGCATTGCACTCAGATGATATTTTCATGTCACAGTAATTTTCTCTGTCCCACAGACGCTCTTCTTGCCGCGGTGGCTCTGAAATCCTGTCTTCTGTCACAGGGCATGCTACACAATGCTCTCCGGGACGTGAGTGCCCTTTTCTTTCGATTGTGAAGGTTGCACAGCCTCCTTCTTTGTTTTTGCTCCCGAATACAACCTTGCAATGTAGTCCATGCAACGCTTCGAGTGGGAAGCTGGAAGAAAAGCATGTGAGAGGTGAATATTTCTCTCCAACAACATGGCTTAGACACCTTTGCTTAGACATCATATTTTAGAGATCTGTATGTTAACACTGTATAGAATCTAACCTAAACATTTTTAATGCAAGTAAATGTCTGAATGCATTATACCCTAATTTCTAAAAGCCTTGTTATATAAACAACATACTAATGAACCTGGTATAAAATATACAAGCATTTCTGCCACAAAATAACATATGTGCTGCCTTCATCCAAAATCACATATGATAAACAAGAAGGTTTATGGGAAAAATAGCGTGGGGAAGAATAGACTCTTCAAAGTCTGTGCTTCTGTGTACACAGAGGCTGGGGACAGTGCATGAAGCAGCCCTGCTGACACAGGTACTGAGATCCTTCTCCTTCAGTCTGCAGCCACACAAACTAGTTTACAACCCACTTCCCTCCCTCCTCAGCGTTCACACAGCCAGTTCACTGTCACACGCTCTTCCACAAGCACACCTACTCTCTCTGCATTTCACTTCAGTAGATCAAAACAAAACAAAATAAAAAGCAGAGGTTTATAAAAGACCAGCTTCCTACAAAATCTCAATCAAACCAATAGAACCAAGCTGCAGAGTTGGCTGCATATCTTGCATCTCCTGGCAGGGAGAATAATTTGTGCAGGGAGCAGAAATGGTTGGGAAGCATAAAAAGTATTATTATTTTTTTTATAGACCTAACTTCTGCCTACTGGACCTTCATGGTGAGCACACACACACACGCGCGCGTGAACACACACACACATGCATGCACACACACTGTCCCTTCTTATTTAGATTTTTTTCATTTTCTTGACATTCCTTTTCATCTTTGGATGACCACAAGGCCATCCAAAAGACCTGAAAGATTAAAGCTGGTATTCATTTAATCAACACAAATTTTTCAAGTTTTCCATTTGTTTGTTTGAGGGGTTTTAAAAACTGCTTTTGGAACCAGGGTCTTGTTATGTAATCCAAAGTGCTCTTGAACTAACTATGCAACCCAGGCTGGCCTTGAACTTGTAGCAATCCTCTTGCCTCAGCCTCCTGAGTGCTGGATTACAGGCATGCACCATGATGCCCAGCCCAGCACTACATTTGTGCCAAGCCAGGTGCTAGGATCCAGGGATACAGAGTAAATCCAATTCCACCTGCAGTAATATTGTAGTAGTTAAATCAAAACATCAAAAAGTACAGGTGTGAGGAATGCATCTCATAAACATGTGTGTGGCATGCTCTGGGGCACAGGCAGGGCACACACTGTCCCCATGTGTGACAGCAGACTGCAGAAGGGCTTCCACTACCTGAATTTAACTAGTGATTGTTTTTAAAGCTGAGCAGCCTTGAATTTTATGACTTAAAAATTGACTTCTAGTTCTAAAAATCAAACTTCGATTGTTTTTCCCTCTTCTCAGAGGCAGCTGATCAATGAATGTCAGTTTTCAAATCTCAAGTCACACAGTTGACTTACTTTGGCTATTTTTCTCTTGGGAAGATGTTTCTTCATTATTTGACCTTGATCTGTAGCTTTCTAGGGTGTTTTCTGAAATTTCATTTTCTGAAAGAAAAGAAGATAAAGTTACCAATGTCTGATGCCACAGATGTCACCTGCATGTAGAAAAGTAAGTCTGAATAAGACCTCTGCTACAGAGTGACAGCTGGTCAGCCCCACCTCTGCCTCCTCTCTCCGAGAACTCGGCATATTACTAGGATCCCCACAGGGACTGTCAAGGCACAGTAGGATCCGTGGACGGGAAATGGAAGCAGAAGAGAAGCAAGGACTATCTTACAGGAAGGGGAAATTGAAATAGCCTCCAAAGACTTTGGAACAATACTATGATGTTTGTTGGGGGCTGGAGGTTTAGCTCAGCGGCATAAGCACCTGCCTTGAAAGCAGGCAGTTGTGAGTTCGATCCCCGGTACCGATAAAAACGAAAAAGCCAAAAAAAAAAAAAAAAAAAAAAAAAAAAGAAAAAGAAAAAATACTATGATGTTTGCCTGTTGTGCAGATGAGCACAACTGAAAAATCAGACCCTGTCTCCAGGTTTATCCATGATGAGAACATTAGTACAACTGGTTGTCTACGCTGACAGGAGCCTTGTCTTCACGGACAGGAAACTAGCCAGGCTGACACTATTAAAAGCTGCTCCAAGCTGTGTTTTGCCTTTAGATATCAGGAATTCTCTGTTTCCGGAAGTGTCCTAGCCTTAGGTGGCTCAATTATCACTGTCCAGCAGCATCTTAATGTGCACCACATGTGTAATTTAAAATACTCTGTGGCAGGGGGTGTGGCTGAGTGGTAGGGTGTCTGCTTAGCATGTTTAAGATCCTGGGTTCAATCGCCAGCGTGTGTACACACACAAATTCTAGTAGCTACATTTACAAAGTAAATGGAAATCAGTGTAATAATGTATTTTACTTAACTGGCACCCTGAGATATTTTTATTAGGTATATTCTCATGCACGTTTGTGTGTATGGCATGCATCTTCCAAGCTGGGTGTGTATTTTGTGCTTACAGCTCATACCAGAAGGACTGGTCAGATATGCCCTGCTCAGTAACTAACTTGGGGCTGTGTTTCATAGCACAGGGCTAGCTAACACCTTGGAGTTAAAGAGTGGATTTAATTGTGGCGTCTGGTTATAGGATGAATACAGTAGATACATTCTGAATAACTCTTGAAGTTCCTTCCCGCTCCAATATGTGTTGTGTCTAATGCACTTTAATAGCATCTTCTATGCTAGCGCAATAACTTCTGTTTCTAATGGTGGTTTTAAATTAGAATGCTCAGGGAAAAATTACTAAGATACCATGGTTGAGTGAAAAGATATGATGGCCCTTGAAAAGTAGGAATGGTCCCAAACAGTCTCTTATGCTCAACCTTTGTCCGCAACTGAATACGAACTTTTTGAGAGCAAGGACCTGCTCTGTCTCATGACAGATGTGTCCCTCGTACCTGGAACAGTGCCTGGCATGTAGTGGGCACTCCACCAAATACTTACTGAGTGAATGAGAGAACTGGCTCTCCATTTTGCATCTTTTTGTGGACGGAAGTGTCCATAATTTAATGCCAGTTCCTGGGGGCTGTTTCATATAGGCCCTGCAGAGTCACAGCTCTTGGTTTCTAGAAAATAGTTGTTTGCCTGACAGGGACGGTCCGCTAGCTTATGCAGCACCTAACACCAAGCTTGCAGAGACAGAATTCCCTCTCTGTCCAGCCACTTCCTGCAGCATCTCCAGCCTTCCTGGGGCTCTGCCCCACTCACCCTTCTTCCAGACCACGTGTGCCTTCCGCAGTTTCATGATGAAGAGCTGGACAATGATGAAGAGGACAAAGATGAGGAAGGACACAAGTGTGAGCAGCAGGATGCCACTCTTTTTCCTTGCCAGCCCCATATACCGAGGACTTGCGTCTGTAAGGAAAACAAAGGGATTTAGGGAGTTTGGGTTTCTTCCTCACTAGGGACACACACAGTATTTCCTGGAGGGGAAAAAGCTCACAGCACTCATCCTCCGAACGCAAAGGATTCTGAAAGATGACCTGAAAAGTATTTTAACTAATGTTATATTGCAGAAGAACTAATTTCTAGAGGAAGCATGCAAATATCGACTTAATTTTCCTTAATAAAAATTAAGTGAGGTAGCAAGAGAGAGTGTTAAAGAGTTTAGAAAACTATGCAAATAATATGAAAATTCATTTATCTCAGCAAGGTTAAGTGTGGCTAATGTAAAGGAATTTGGAGAAATACTAGACAAGCGCTTAACAGTCTTCCTAAACCTAGAATTTTGATCCTATGAAACATTACTTTGCCAATGTCCATTAACCCAGCCAGCAATCAAGGGTTGGGGATTTGTACAGTGAGCACTCGCCTAGGGTTCCACACTCAGCAACACACACACACACACACACACACGCACACGCACACGCACACGCACATGCACACACACACACACCAGAGGAGGAAGTGGTGTTAGCAGATGGATAGAGAAACAGTGGCTAGGAAAAGAACAGAACCAGTCAAAGTGGGTCAAGTAATGCAGGAGGCAACAGGTCCAGAAGGGACAAGGGAGTAGTTATATTATTATGTCACAAAGCAAAGAGGTCAAGAAAAATGAGAACTGGAAAATGCTACTGGATCTATCCATTAAGAGGTTAAAATGTCAATTGTTTCTTCTTAATGCAGCGGTGACACTTACCACTGGCCAAATCAGAGTCTTGAATGGTTTGTTCTTTTTCTTCCTTGTTAACCTCTGGTATACTGGAATTTTCCATTATTGAAACTAAGGTGGAAAAAATGAGAGATGATATATGCTCATTTCATGCATATATGGTTCATAGATGTAACATGTATTTTGAATGTCTCCTCCATAACTCATGCTGATGTTTCATTGCCACATGAAGTAGTTTGCGGTCCACCTTCATGAAAGGGTTAAGGCAGTGTGGGCTCCGTACCAAGTGACAGGGTTGACAGGGTTTGTCTGTTTATCCTCTCTCCTGCTCTCTCTTTGCTAGATGTGGTCTCTGAATACTGGACTTCCCAGCCTCCAAAGCTGTAAGCCAGTAAACTTCTGTTTGTTGTAAATAACTTAGTCTGTGATATTCTGTTGTAGTGTGCAACATGGACCAAGACTATAATATACACACATAGTCTTCCCAGAGCAGCTGTGGAAGCCAAAAAGAACATTTAAAAGGAGCAATGAATCCAGGTATGGTGGCACATGCCTATAATTTCAGCACTCAGGAGACTGAAGCAGGAAGATTGATGTGAATTTGAGACCAGCATGGGCTACCTAGTGAGCTCATGGCCAGGCTCACCTTCATAGAGAGAAAGAGAGAGAGAGAGAGAGAGGCCGGCCTAATTTTAATTACCATTTTCTCTTTTAAATTAGCACATAGTAAGGGATCGTTAAGGGATACAATGTAATGTACATACAGCACATAAAGATCAAATCAGGGCATTATCTCTCTTTATCATCTCCATCTCCGTGTCATGTTAACAATTCTTGGTTCCTGTTTCCCATTCTTCATAAAATGTGTACTATGTTATGATCAGTCACGGTGATCCCACGGTGCTGCAGAACACCGGAAGTGGTTCGTCCTGTCTTGCTAGGTTTTGGTACCTGTTACCTGGCCTCTCTGTCCTCATCCCCTGCCCTTCTTCGCCTCTAGTAGTTCCCATTCTACTCCCTTCTACGTTTGGATCAGGCTTTCAGCCTCTGCACATGAAACAGATCTTGCAGCCCTTATTTTTCTGCATCTGGCTTCTTTCACTTTGAACCTCTGATTTCTTGCAAAAGGTGCTGCAAATGCTCAGTCTGCCTTTGCCTCGTTTTCTTTTTTATAAGGCAAACACTTAGTGAACACTTACTAGGTGTGGGGCCCTAAACTGAGCACTGGGGATCTGTTTTTTCTTCCCACAGCTCTGAGAAAACAGAAGTTTCAAGCAATTAATAAATTAATTAAAGTCCTCCACCCAATACACAACAGAGACAATGCTGACACTAAGGATTTTTTTCTACCACCAGAACTCCAAATTAAAACTATTATTTCATGCTTTCTTGATGAGTCAGGACTACTGGGGAGAAGACCTTCAGGGTGCCTAAAGACACTGTTCAACACCTAGGAGTAGGGTTCCAGGCTTACATAGGAGCCTACAGCCTTCCACTTATTCTGAAACGAGGTCTCAGTTGTCGCCTAAATTCCTCACTGCTCTCCTGTAGGAGTAGACGCAGTGTGCTTTAAAGAAGACAAACCATGAAAAGAAGAGGAGGCTTTTTCAAATCCGCTGCCTGTCTTCTTCCTGATTCCCCTTTTTTCTCCTCGAGTCTCTTTTTAGATCATTGCACAGCGCTGCCATGTGGATCCCGAGGGCAATAAAACCTCCCATTTTTCTGCCCAAAATGGGTGTTATGAACAGTAATAAAATTGCAGAAATTGAAAGCTAAAAGGAATTTTAGAAACCATATTTCTTAAATCCTATGCTGTATATGAAAACTCAGAGCAGAAAATTGAGTTGCTCAGGAGTGGTGTAAGCCAATTCAAAGACAACCCGATTCTAAACACGTTTTAAAATATTGGATTATTAAAGCAAGCGGTGTGTCTGTTCCACTTCATAATATTTTCAATTTCCATAGCCCTTCAAAAATTGTATGGACACATTGTATTTATTAGTGTTTTCTAAAAGCCCAAACATTTACTTTTAAATATTATTCGGGATACACATCTTTAAAAATGTGATCTGACACTCAGAACTATCAACATGATAATGATCTGAAAGCACTTATCCTACCAAATAAAATTATTATGAGATACTACATAGAACAGAAAGAGAACACATAGAAATTTATGTCTTCCTGGGTCAGGCTATTTTGCTCAAAACACCAAAATAAATTCATTCATTCATTCATTCATCCGTCCGCTCATTCAGCACATTCTGAGCACCTGTTATTGTCAGATAATGTGCTAGATAAAATACAAAGTTAAATTAAATATAAGATACTGGACTTCACTATCTAAAAAGCTGGAATTATAAGCCAGATTTTCTCAATTCTTCTTATACTTTAATCCTATTATCGACAATGGTCCAAGTCCTCAACCACTAAGTAAATGACCTGCCCTCAAAAACGTGATTTTGATATTCGGTGACATTAAATTCCCAGTTTCTACTTCCTGGATGGCTGATATCAAGTCTTTATTTTGTGTGTGTTCCGTTCTAGATGAGAAAACAGAGAGCAAGCTTCCTTGGAAAGGAATTCAATTTTGTGCTTTGGCACAAAGGCAATTCAAGAGTCACCATCACCATATGTGTGTGTGTGCCTGTGTGCTTGCGCTGTGTACGTGTGTGTGCAAATGCACGTATCTCAAGCAGAACGACACTGAGCTGACATTATGCTGCCCTGGATCCCATCCATTAGCTATTCTGTTCCAAGATACCATAGAGCTGGTGCCAACTGGAGGGATCTTGAATGGTCTTACCAAAATTTAAAATTAAAAAATTCTGAAGATAACATTAGAAATGGAATCTTTCCGAGCGCGCATGGTTTCTCCGTTAAAGTCTCAGTGATCCCGACACTTACCAATACTCGTGGGCTGCTGAGGGTCTGGAGAAGAGCGAGTGCTTTGCTCCGGAGCGTCTGAAACTGTTTCTTGCTCGGTAACTAGGAAGGAGGAGAAACAAAATTCCGCAACTACAGAGAGCAGTTTCACCCACATTGTGCTCAGTAAACAGAACGTATTTGGCTGCTACCTGCTCGTGGAGATTGTGCAGAAACCTCAGAGCTGTGTGTGCTGTGCCTCTCGCTCTGGTTTTCGAATCTGTCCCCTGCTGACTGCCCATCTGCTGACCTGCCTGGCTTCAAAGTGCAGCATGTGGACGCTGCGAGGTGGGGCACTTGGTGGTAGTAGGCAGAGGATTTTCTCTATCTGCACACATCTTTCTTCTCACCCCCCGGCCTGTCCACCCATCCACATCTCCGTCTTCCTGTTTACCAATTAGGTGGCTCTGGAGTCAGCCTCAGCGTGAGCTGAACTCCAGGGCTGCTGATTGTTTGCTCCTGAGTGAGTTGGTCAAGATGTTTAATTTACCTAATATTTTGTTACCTCCTTATCTATGAACTGGAGATATCAACAGCATTTATCTCAAGTTTCTGTGAGCATTGATAAATTCATTCATAGAATTTTTAGTGCACTACCTATTTATGAAGCATAGTGCTTACTACACGCTATTTTACAATATAAACAAAATGCTTAGGAATGTTTCCAGAGGGTCACCTCAGGGTCTATTTCAACAGCATCTGAACTGGCCTGCAACCAGCACGCATGATGTGACTGTGGCTGTCAGTTTATAGACATGTGATAGGTGTCTTGTAGCTGTAAAATCTGTGAGTACTTGTCAGTGTTTCTTTAATCAAAGAATTCTCTCTATTTTGCAAATGTGATTTATCAATAAAACATTTTATTATAATTATTGATTCATATTAATTTAAAAAATGAATAGGTTTCACTGTGATATTTCCACACATGCAATATACCATGCTAAAAGTTTTTAAAAATGTGTAAGTGCCTGTATTGCATGTATTGGTTTGAGGAAAGGAAGACAAATTATTAGGAAAACATTAGAGAAATGGTAGTCCAGTCATCCTCCCTTATCCGTGAGGCAGATGTTTGAAACTCTCATGGATGCTTCAAACTGTGGTGAGTATAACCTTAAATATGCTGTGCTTTTTCTTATACCTGCATACTTATGATGAAGATACTTTTGTTTGTTTGTTTCTTTGTTCATTTTTTGAGACAGGGTCTTGCTATGCAGTTCAGGCTGGTCCTGGGCTTACTGTGTAGCCCAGGCTGTTCTCGAACTTGCAGTGATCCTCCTGCCTCAGCTTCCCAAGTGCTAGGATGACAGGCGTGTGCCATCCTGCCTGGCTACTGAAGTTAATTTGTAAATTAAACACAGTAAGAGATTCACAATAGCAAGTTAAAAATCGAATTATAATGATACGTTGTAGTAAAGTTATATGAATGTCACCTGTCTCTAACTAGCTTCCTGTACTGTGCCCGGCCTTCTTGATGGAACACGGTAAACTGAAACCATGGAATTCAAAACCGTGGATGAAGTGGGCTACTGGACAGACGGAAGACTAAAATAAGCCCTGCAATCACCAGGGCGCCAAGAAAGTTGAAGGAAAAGGAGGACCATTGGCAAAGAAAAAAACGCTTGCAGGCTAATCAAATGGAAATGTTGGAAGTGATTATAAGAAGCAGCTAATAAGGGAAATTCTGGGGGCACAAAGAATAGAATCTGTACTAATGATCAAAGTCTTCTAAATGGTATTTACATAGCGCGAATTCAGGTAATTTGATGTTTACGTACAAACTATAAATATATACACACATATATAGCTATAAACTATTTACATTTAAAACTGATGTTATCCTTTTAATTAACAGGCTGCTAAATAACTATTAAAAAACTTATTTAGACTGGATGTTGTTGGCCAGAGTAGTACAGACTTCTGCTATTCAATGAAGCATCCAGTAACTACATTTCAATTTAAATTAGTGAGAGTTAAATTACAGTATTAAACTGTTGCTGCTCGGTTGTACTAACCATATTTCAAGCTAAAATTCAGGACAGCCTGTGTCTCCCACTGTGAATACAGCAGCCTGTAAATACCTGAAGACTTCTGATGAGATCAGTGATGTTAACTAATGTGGTTTTGATATTAAAACGTGTCAGCCTTTGAAATATCTGCATAACTCAGTATTTTCCACATGGCCAAGTTACAGTGTTTCGAAGAGCTCCTTGCAAAGTTTAAGCTGGCTCAATGGATTTTAATATCAGAATATGAAACATTCATTTCTATGGTTCCGGGATCCATGTAACAACCAACCTTTATGAAGCTGCCTCTTGCTGGGCATGGTGGCACACACCCGCAATCCCAGCACTCTGAAAAGCTAAGGAAGGGACTTGCAAGTTCAAGCCCAGCAGGGGCAGTTTAGTGACTTTAAAATCCTGTTACACAATTTAAAAGGCTGGAGATGTGGCTCAGTGTGAAGGCCCTGGTTTCAGTTCTTAGTATGGAAAAATAATAAAGAAAGGAAAACTACTTCTCGTTGAGTTTTGGTGTGCAATCAAAGAATGCTCATAATTATCCAGAAAATTCTATTAAATACTCTTTCCTGGGCTAGGGGTGTATGGTAGCCGGTAGCAGAGCACGTGCCCAGCACACGTGAGGCCGGGGTCCATCCTCAGCACTACGTATGTACGTACACACACATCCATGCACACATAAGTGCAAACCAGCACTTCCATTTTCCAACTGTATATTTGCATGAAGTTGAATTATTTTTATGTATATTTCAAGCAAGAGAACATATTGGAAAAAACTAGATGCAAAAAAGAGATTTTCAGGATGTAAAATGATGCCATTTTTCTCACTATTTTTGGGGAGTGTTACAAAGTACAGTTATGTATTTTTTCAAAAGAATGCCTTCTGTTTAACCTGTAGTAGCTTAAATAGTGAATAAATATATATTTTAAATGTTTCAGTTTTAATTTCTGATAGGTACATTTTGGCAGCTATAACTCAGGCAAGTACAAATTTTCAGGGGTCCCTAGTTGTTTTAAGAGTAAGAGGCATGCTGACATCAAGAAGTTTGAGAACTATCATTCAACATTTTAAAAATCCCAACCATAACAGTAAATGCATATTATTCATTTGGAATACTAAAAAAAGATTTAAGTAAGTCTGAAGAGAGTCGCGTCTATTTCTGCTGTTCTGTTCCCTGCCAGCATTGTGCCCTCCTAGACAGCCTCCTGGCACCTCCTGCATCTTCCCGGGTTCCTACCCCACCGAGAGGGTAGAGATGGAATTACAGGAGATCTTACTTGCAACTGTACAGTAAAATGCCCAGCCGGGCATTTTCTTAACTGATTGGATGAGCAAGATACTTGTGGTATCTGAATACCAAACAAAGCAGCTTGCCAAGCCAAAAAAAAAAAAAAAAAAAAAATAGACACATGGAAGCCACCAATAACGGACACCTTCGTTCCTCCAGGGATTCTTGGTGGAGCTCTGACAGTGGCTGCTAGACAGTTAATACTGAGCTCACAAATAAGAGTCACCTTAGCCTATGAGCAGAAATATTTACAGAAATGATTTTGAGTCATATAGAAATATGGTCTTAAAGATAAGTTTGAAGTTGGCTTGATCTACTGCAAAAATATCAAAATGCAGTTTTTTCTCCAACAGTTCCAGTTCTCTCGTTGAGGAACTCGAGGGCCTTTGCAGGGGTGGTCAGGCCCCCACCACATGCCCTGTGACCTACTTCCTCGGGCGGAGGCGGAGGTGTGGGTTGGGGGTGAATCATCCTGAGGTGGAACCGTGTGGAGGGTTACAGTACAGCCTGGGCTGCGGGTTGTGAGTCTCCTGCTGCAGCTTTCTCCATAATCTGCTTCTGCTTTGGTGTGGAGGTCTGCAGGGAGAGCTCGCAGTGTTCGGGGGCCTATGAACCCCAGCTGGCCGTTTGACAGCCTTCTCTAGTAAGGTTCTCCTACACGAATCTGCCTTTCACAAATTCCTTCCCTTGCCAGTTATTTCATCTGGTGAAAGAAATTTTTCCGCAAATGCACCACTATCTGCCTTTTTTTCTTTTATTAAAGTGATTCCCTCAAGTCCACAATCTCTTTTTATACTTGGAAGTACCTTATAAATGAATGCAAGTTCAGAGTTCTACAAATTGCAACCTTGTGATTCAGGTCTCTTACAGGATACCCCTTGGCTCAGAGAGTTATTTACAGCTTTTAAATTTTTTCTGGGACCTTTGGGGAAACTTCACAGCAAAATAAGTCTGTAGAGGAATCCTGTCAAATTATAACTATGAGAGTTTTTATTTTTATATAAGAACATCAACTGATTTTTTTGGAAGCTCATATATTTGCAGTTAATGTTTCTTTTTGGGTCAAATATGGGTAAGCTTCAGATGATTTCTTTGAAAACACAACTACAATAAAACTATTTGCAGTCAAGTCATGCTCGCTGTCATTATCAAAAAAGAGAATGGCATAATTTGCACCAGGTACTCTGCCAGGCCTTATGCCCAACTGGGATTCTTCCGAACACTGGATCATTTGCTATCTTGTTCCCAGCTAGGGAAATTTCAGTTATTGCAGGTGTGTGTTATCAATTAGGGGAGCTTCCCTGACTGTCACCCTGCCCTAAAGGACTTTGCCTGCTCCACCTAATTTTTTGATGGAGCAACATAAAGGTAAATTAAAATGATCGAAGAAATCATGGGTTCTTCTTACCCAAATCTTCAAACTGGAAGGGCACAACGAATTTGCTCCCTTGCAGGCCCTGGTGTCGTAGGACGCAGCCCACAGTCGAGTTTTTGCTGAATGAATGCACGATTAGCATGCTGGTGGTATTACATTTTTTCCCGTCTGTTTCGAACTTATGGTGGGTTTCACCTATGTAGCAATTTAAAGAGATATAAACAAAAAATTGTGGGTATGGATGGGTTTGGTTCTATTAGAGACTAATACTTTGACTTTAAGACAAATATAATTAGGTTTCTAGCCTCAGCCAACACCCTTGTGTGCTGTGGCTGTAGGTGCAAAGGCAAGCAGGTAAACAGGAATGCATAGGTTTCTACGGATCATTCCCCACTGATAACTCAAGTCAGCATTCCTAGCGATCACACAAGACACACAGTTTGATGTTGCTATGAAACGCAAAGACACCTGAGCTGACTCAAGTTGTGTAAATAAGGAAAATTCAAAAAGAAGCCGTATATGAAGCAGAATTGCTACTGGCCTGAGAATCGGATCTAGGTTCAAGGCTTTTTGTTTCTAGAATTCCATTTGGCTCTCAGTTTTATCAATGGAGTAGGACTGCTTGCGGCTTTTAATGACGTGTGATTACACAGATCGAAAATGTGAAGTCTGTTGAAATGTCAGACTGCTGCACAGGTAGTTCCCAAATGTCACAACTATTATCCTTTGATTAAAGTCTCAAAGTTTATGTTCTTTCATAGTATTTTTCATCTGTTATTATCACAGTGCAGTACATGGTACTACACTATGGAGGGGGGATCGTATCTTTTCTGATACACATATTTTCTGACTTACGATGGCCTGACTGAATGATTTTCAGCTTGTGTGAATGGGAGCGTACCTGTACAAGCTTCTGTCATTCATTCCCAGTACAGTACCCAGTAAGTCACAGGAGATATTAATGTTGTATTATAAAATAGGTTTTACAGGAGGTAATCGATTTCAATCATAGGTAAACATAAAATTTTTTTTGATACTGTGGATCAAATTCAAGAGGTAAACATAAGTGTTAAGAGCAGATTTATGGTTAGACTAAACTAATTGATGTTTGGCAGGTCAGATGTATTAAATGCATTTTTTGACTTAAAATATTTTTAACCTGCGTTGAGTTTGTTGGGTTGTAACACCATAGTAAATCTAGGAGTGTCGGTATATTCGTTATATTAAATGAACTTTTAATTTTATGCCTGAGAAGCAATTTTACATTCAGGGATCATAGCTATGTTATATCTCTTATTTTAAGAAACTTGTCAAATTTTAAGAAGCCATTGCAAAGATTCTAATCTGGTTTTAAGCAAAACCAATGTTATCAACGATCAACCTCTCAACAATGAACAAGGATAATTTTCAGGAATAAGACTAAATTAGTGCCCACTGTCTTTTGGCATCAGCAGCCACCAGAGGGCGCCAGAACATTTACAATCCCTAGGAAATCTAATCAGGGAGGAAAACAGAACTCACTATAGATCTCCATGTTGGTCCCCAGTAGCCAGGTTATCCTCGGAGGGGGCTTGCTTCTCTGGGCAGAGCATCTAAGTACAACATGTTCTTTTCCGTTAGGTCTTCTGATAACTGAAGCCTCCAGGGTTGGCTTGACAGGAGTTGCTAGGAGAAAATTGATTTTTTTGAGCTGAGTTGGTCTACACATCTCAGTGAAGTACAGAGCTAAGAATCTGTAGGGATTGCTTTAAGGTATAGACTAATTAATAGGCACATTTTTCATTTGACATTTCCCAGACTCCAGTCCTGTTAAAGGGCTTTTGTGTGTTTGCAAATGTACTTTGGCTGTTGTTAGAATGTTTGTTACTCAAGATGTGATTAGTTCCTAAAAGTTCCCAAAAGCATCCTTGCAGAATAGCTATCACATATGACACATGGCTGTATTTGGTTGGTAGAACAGAAGGTCAGGGAGAGCTCTGAATTCTAGTCCCTCCCTCCATCACCAGCTGGTGGTAACTTTGGTAAATCCCCCAGCTTCTTGGTACACCAGGTTGTTTTCCCTCACCTGTGGCATGAAGGAGTTGGCTAATGCGTTGGCTTTTACAACTCTAAACTTTCCTGAGCTCGTGACTCATCTCAAAGTCAGGTGGTTACTTTTGTTCCCTGATGCCAAAGTTGTGGGTCTCATTGGTCCTTTTCTTTGTTTCTGTCTTGGGAAATACTTTGTACTCTGGCTTGCTCATTTCTCCCACCCTACTTCCATTTTGGCTCTGAACTCAGCTCTTCCACATGTATTTAACTTGTCTACCGTATAATGTTACAGAGACATCGTAAAGGCACTTTTTAGTTCCAAGCGAGAACTAAATGTGTTACATGCTGGCAACATGAAGATGGAAAAGATAGGGCCACTCCAGGAGCTGGAGTCTGGTGGCAGCCTCACTCCCTCGTGGTAACTGAAAGATCACAGGTTGTGACTGGAGGTGTGGATCCTGATGAATGTGTGTGCTTAGCGTATGCAAAGCTCTGATTCCATATCCAGCATTGCAAAAGAAAAAAGAGTGGGGGACCCACATTGAGTGCAAAGGTAGAGGTATTCACAGGGCATTGTAAGAGCCCAGAAGGGCACACAGCGAGCCCGAGCATGGATGGCATTGGTGGTGACACTCAGCCAGGGAGAAGACAACCCTTGAGCTGAATCACTTTGGTCCCCAAAGCCTTCAGAGAGCCAGTCTTCTGTTACTGTCCCACCATGGCATCCTTCAGGACAGGTGCCAAACCATATAACTCAACAAGAGAAGTCCGCAGTCCGCAAAATTCATTTGTGTGATATATGGGATTATACTATTGAGAGATCAATAAAAATCAGTATCCTTAATTGATCTCCTCTGCCACCAGAACCAAAACTGCAACACTGATGAGACATACTGCAAACAACTGCCCATCCACTGATCTGAGAAAGTGCCAGGTGTTCAGGGAGGTGTCAGGCTCATCATCCAGGCCGTCATGCTGATCCTCCTCAAGCAGAAGAGAAGAACCATTTGGCACAGGATATGAGCCAATCATCCAACTGACTCCAGTGCAGCTGTATCTGGATTCAGCCTATCTTAGGCTGTGGCATCACGTGGTTCTCCTTTATTTACATACATGTCTTGCCTTCTTCTGGTGTGCAGAGTCTCAGGCACAAATTGTGCCTAAATCATCTTTGGCCTGTGACAGTGCCTGGCATATATAGTCAGGGCTTATCCAACATTCTTCTATTTTCTTTTCATTTTCCAGAAAAAATTTAATCAATGCCAAAAATACACACGCTCACAATTTAATCTACAGTTTGCCACTCAAGATGTCCTCTTGTTTTGTCTAAGTGAAAGGTGGCAGAGATGCCCCCAGAAATACCTTAGTATGGGTACCATTTTAAAACTAAAATGTCAAGTTTAAAATCACTTGCTGGGTACCTACCTAGCACAATCACTCTCACTTCCTTGGTGCTCACCGAGTTGCCGTACTGTAAACACTTGTACACGCCTTCATCCTGGACGGTGACATTGGCCACTTGGATGGACAGCTGCGTGGCTGAGTGGTGAAGAAGTTGGTATCTGGAGTCTTTTAAAGCTGTACAAAGAAGAAAGAGCTGTTATGCGGAAAGGAATCAGATGAATACAAATTGATCATTCATTTTTGATTTTTATACTTTAGAGGAACAAGCGCCATGTCTTCTGTTCAGCTGCCTTCCAAATTCTTGTCACCCATTGAATGCCTTTCTGAGTAGCTTAGAAAATTAAGAAATGAAATATTTTTTAGTGCCATCTGTGAAATAAACAAATTGCATTGTGCTTGTAGGAGAATAAAAATGTTATACTGGAGAAAGATTCAGGCTACAGGAGGATTTCGGATAACTTTTTAAAATGAAAAGTGCCCTACTACGACTTACCTCACTGGTCTGATTTGCTGTGTCATATAAGTGTCAAGGATAGAAGATAAATGCACTCACTGATAAATGCATTAGCTGAGTGCTTTTTATTTATAATTTTAGAATGCTCATTATTATTTGAAGATTCCCAAAGATTATGACTTACTCTTTCCGAGTACTGGACCAACGGAAAGGGAAGAGAATAGAGGAGAGGAGAGGAGAGGAGAGCAGAGGAGAGGAGAGGAGAGGCCAGGAAAGGAGTTGGGGGTGGGGAGACACTCCAAAATGTTCTTTTGGTTGGTTGTTGACCTTGAAATCCCACCTGAAATCAAAGCTCCCTTAGCAAATCAGAGGCTCCACAAATGAGGTGTTTTTAAAATTAAGATTTATAATATGAACAAGTTGAACCTTGAACAGCTGCTAACAAAGTTGTCCCTAATCCAGAGCAATGAGTCTGTCCTGGAACGGGCAGTACATTAACTAGAATTCTGGAGTCCTCACCTTCTGCTTTATTGATTTGGAATCAATAATTCCTTGTCCTGAAGGCCGACTGCATTGTACCATTTTTCAGCATCCCTGTCCTTAGCCACTAGACACCAGAAACTCCTCCCTCTTCCCTTACTGAGAACAACAAAACTCTCCAGACATTGCCAAAATCGAGGGCATTACCCACTGGAGGAAAGGATCACCCAAAGTGCCCAATCACTGAGACAGATCAGGCTCTCTGGCTGCAGACACCTCGGAATCTCTGTCCTTTCCTCCTCCTCCCCAAAGAAAACCAAAACCCGATAGCAAACAGCATCGTTTTACAGAATGACCTCTACTCCAAGTTCATCTCACTGAAACTTTCTTTTTTTTTTTTAATTTTTTTTGTCCTTTTCCTTTTTTATCGGTACCAGGGATCGAACTCACAACTGCCTGCTTACAGGGCAGGCACTTATGCCGCTGAGCTAAATCTCCAGCCCCTACAATTAGTACCTCCTTATTCTCCTAGACTTTAGCATTAGTAGTGGATTTTGCATAAAAGAACGTAAGGAGTTTTTATATGTATACTGATATTTAATGTTTTCAGAGGACATCAAATTTTCAATAATCTCTGCTTTTACAGAGGCTTTTAAAAGTATTTGGTAGATAAGAATGTTAGGTGAAAATAAAAAGTGGTCTGTTTATGAAGGGAAGGAGTGAGTAAAATCTTGCCCGAAGTCCAGGGTTGCGTGAGCTTCTGTCTGAGGTGTTGAGTTCTCGTGTGCTGGATGCCTGTGAATATGGGTGTGATCCCTGTTCTCAGAGTCATGCACTCTGTCCATTTCTAGTACTTCTCTAAACCTTGGTTTTGTGTTAAAACCAACAGGGGAAGGAGAGTCTTGTGGAAAGAGCTTTGGAACAGGCATAAAGCTAAGAAGCTGTGACAGCATTGGCCGTGTGAGGGGACAGGGCCCCCAAGGCAGCCCCCAAGCCCTGTCTGTCATCCTGCTGTGGGTGTTTCACGATCACTGAGAGTCAGAAAGTGACAAGGGGGTGGCTGGGGACATGGAAATGTGCTTTGTAATCTGAGCCCCCTCAACAACCGCTCTGGTGGGGTTTCCATTTCAGACTTCCTGCCCCTGGGTGTCACATCACAGCCTGCAGAGGTGTGAGTCTCCTGGGGAGGAGGCGGGCTGAGCCCACCGCTTGGGTGATTCATGCAGTTTCTGACCCTCAACCTGCCTGCTGGAAAATCTCTTAGCGTGAGGTCTGGTGGTGATTGTTTTTCCTTGGTGCAGTCACTTACCGGGATGCCCATTTAAAAACATGGTGAAGCCAGAGGGTGCCAGCCACTGGAGGGAGGCGGTCTTCCCCGGGGAAGTGGCACACTCGAGGGTCAGTGTGTGGCCTTCCTCCACGGTGACAGTTTCCGTGAGGTTAGTCAGGAGGGTGTCTAGGGAGGAAGAGAACGGCTGGTCAGGCTGGTGGGCTGAGCTGTGCCTCCCTCAGGGCAGGGATTTGTTCTTTGTGTGGTCTCATTCCGTCATCAGACACCCACTGCATATTTCTTACAGAAGTCAGAATACATGCAATACCAGAAAACATGGGAGGAGAGGGCACACCGTGTGTGAGAACAGTAAGACCCCTCACCAAAGGGAGCACATTCGCCTAGGACTGAATACAGATCTTACTAGGGAGAAAGGGAACATTAAACAGCTGTTATTGGGGCATCTGCTGGTTGTGTGTCAGGCATGGTCCAGACCTATCGTGCTCAGATTTAATATTCAAACTGAGCCCGCAGGAAGGGTCATTTCGCTCACTTAGCAGATGAGGAAATAGAGGCACAAGGTCACTGAGGTCGCGGAGGTCACTGGGCCCTGAAGTCCCGAGCTGCAGACTTCAAAATCCTCATTTACGTAAGTGATGAGACTCCAGACAACTTAAGCTTTAGGACTTCAGGTTATCAAACAGGTAACTTGTCCCTTCAAGCATGTACCCAGGAGTCCATGCAAAACTGTTGGGGCTGGGGGACCAACTCAGGGGTACAGCACTTGCTTGGCATGCCTGAGGCTCCAGGCTCCATCCCAGTACCTCTGAGAAAACACAAACTAAAATCAAAACAGCAATGCAAAGTTATAATCCGCCGTGCTGTCCTGAGTATGGAGCTGCTGCTCACCAAGAGTAGGTGGACTCCCGGGTCAGAGTTTCTGTCCCCTAGGGCTGCATGCGTGCGAAGACCTCCAGTTCAACAGTGCACAGCAGCGCCCCCTCCAGGCAAATAAGAGAGTCTGGAATGTTAGACCACAGCCCAAGGGAAAGACAAGCAATTGTTTCTAAGCAGCTGCCCAAGACAATGAGGGAAAAATAAACTGGCTTTACTGTTGGTTTGGCACATGTATACCTTTTGGTATTTCTGCTGATTTTAAATTGAAAGCAGTTATTCCCTTGATGGCAAGATGGCTCTTATCAATGAAGGAACGAAACATTTTCATAAACAAAATGCTACAGGTTTGTAAGTTATGAGTCATTAGTGTAACATGTACTGATTTACCTTAATTCCCCTCCAAAACAAAGAGAGAGAGAGAGAGAGAGAGACAGACAGACAGAGACAGAGAGACAGAGAGAGAGACAGAGACAGGGAGAGACAGAGAGACACAGAGACAGAGAGAGACAGAGAGAGACAGGGACAGAGAGACAGAGAAAGAGAGAGAGTCATTTGTCATCAACTCATGACAAATTTTAACTATTAGCATGAGTTGAAGAGCTCTGGGAATGAACTGGTGCAGCTTTTCTGGTGTGCTCCATCCCTAGATCATTAATTTCCATCTAGCTTCCAGCACTAATACCCAGAATTATTGGGCCATATTCATGTAGACTTTCATGGGAAAGCAACTTGCCTGAGTTCTAATGGAAAAAATACCCATCATCAGCCCATGCTGTATTGAACAATGAGTCAATAAAGGTTTGAGAGATTTGTGGAGCTGGAGAGGCCCTCGGTTCTATCCCCAGCCCCCAAATAAATAAGTAAATAAAAAGAAAGGAGATCTGCATTAGAAGAACAAAAACAAAAATACTGAGGCCTAAGGCCAGAATTTGGCTTTGGTTTGGCCATTTGGAAATACTCTCATTTACAAAATCACCCCGGAGCGAGTAATATGAATAATATTAATAGAGCTGCTTTGAAATAACAATGGAATTTCTTCTAGGGCTTTTTTCTTGGTAATAAAACTGTGGGAGGCTGTTTGGTCCGTGTTCATGTGTCTGTGTGACACCCATGTGAAGCGGACAGTGGTCCTCACCCTTGGAAATACATCACAGTCGCCTGGGGAGTTTTTGAAAGCTCTGGTACCCGGGTTGTACCCATTACTGATTACATCAGAATCCCTGGAGGGAGGACCACCTGTGGACTGTCCTCACGGCCTGGCCCGAGAGCTCAGATTCTTCATGTCCATGAGCACAGTTGTAATGTAATGAAGGATTCATATTCAGAGCTCTGACAATGCTCCCGGATATGGGGGGTGAGGTGAGGGAACCTCCTGACTTCGCAAGGATCACAGGGGACCTGAGGACAAGAGCCAGTCTCATGTTAAAATACTTTCAGAAAACAACAGTGCACCACACTGGTCATGACATCATCTGTGTCTTCAGACAGCATGGGCAGGTGGCAACGCCAAGGAGCAGCCCAAACTCATCATTTCCTGACTTTGACATTTGGATCTTGGTTCTTTCTGTCCTCGGAAGCTAAAAGAACTAAGTGTGCTGTCTTTTTCGTAGTATTCAGGCAATCAAGAATCCGTGCCTCTGGTTCATCCTCATTCCTCACCTGTTTCCATCTACCACACCTGAACATACTGCAATTTGTTTTTCCAAAAATGTTATTCTGTGCCTGAGAAAAGAGGCCCTGATGCCCTCCAAACTGGCCAGAGCATAGGGGACAGCTACTCACCCCACCACAGACCCCGGGGACACCTTCTTTCTACTGACCCCAGTGTTCCACTCTCACCAGGCTCACGCTGCCCTGGTGATCACAAAAGTACTCTGCTCTTCCTCAACGAACTTGTGGTTACAGCATGTCACCTTGTCCCTGTTGGGTGCATTTCTCTTTGGACCAAAGTCCTCCCTGAGTCAGTCTTAGTGGTCACTGTGGGCTAAGAGTTCAAGTGTTCTGAAAACGTTTCAGCTCTGAATTATCTTTTCTGTCATCCTTCCCCCAGGCTTGGCATCATCTGGACTTGTTACAGAGGGGAGCTGTGTTATACTTACCTGTGTGCCCTTAGCACAAGTGGCAGCATGGTGCCATGATTGAAACACACACACTTAAGCCAAGTTCCCTTGTTAGGAATCCTGGCTCGGCCACTAACAACATGAAATTGGGAAAATCATGTCTTGGCTTTTTTTTTTTTTTTATCATAAAAACAGGGGAAAAAGTATTCATCTCATAGAGCTGTTGTAAAGATTAAATAACATGTAAAGAAGCTTGACTAGTACTTAGTGCATAATAATTCTATTATTTGTCAGTAGTGTTCAATAAGAAGTGGAAAAGCTGAGCTGACTCTTGCTTTAAAAAGAAAAATTGAAAGGTTCAGTGTCAAAAGACAAAGCCTTGTAGCTCGAAGCCCTTTGTTAGAGACCTCCTTCCCACGTGTCTCAGGCTGATTTCTTATTAAGCATTCTAAAGTGCTTGCAGACATTAAAAGAAGAAGCAATTACAGAGACAATGAGCTTGTTGTAACTGAAAGAGTTTAAGGAGAATTAAGGATTTTGAGAATCATCATAGTGATAACAAATTTTTTTTTAGAACTTAGGTAGCAGTGGTGGTGTTAATCATACCAGTCAGTTCCTGGGAAGAAAGAGAGAAAGAGAGAGAGAGAGAGAGAGAGAGAGAGAGAGAGAGAGAGAGAGAGAGAGAGACAGACAGACAGAGAGAGAGAGAGAGAGAGAGAGAGAGAGAGACAGAGAGAGACAGAGAGACAGAGACAGAGAGAGAGACAGAGAGACAGAGACAGAGAGAGAGACAGAGAGACAGAGACAGAGAGAGAGAGACAGAGAGAGAGACAGAGACACAGAGAGAGAGAGACAGAGACAGAGAGAGACAGAGAGAGGGAGAGAGGCAGAGAGAGACAGGGAGAGACAGAGAGAGACAGAGAGAGAAAGAGACAGAGAAACACAGAGAGTCAGAGAGAAAGAGCAGAGACAGACAGAGAGATTAGAACTCTGAAATAATGAAATGATGAAATGCTCAGTCCCTTCTCTTTCCATTGTGTAAATTGTTGGCTATTGCAATATTAACTTATTTGGAGATGTGTGTATTAATGCTGCTTTAAAAAGTGCGCTGCTCAGAAAAGCAGTCACTCCCCACTCTCCCACCAAATCAAGTGTACTTGCTTTTAGACTCTATATAATCCATCTGCAGTGTAGCCCTGTAGATTACTGTATTTCTCCCCAAATAAGACTTGGTTTTATATTAATTTTTGCTCCAAAAGACACAAAAGGGCTTATTTTTAGAAGATGTCCTACTTTTTTTTTATGTACAAAAATCTACATTTATTCAAATACAGTGATGTCATCTTCTTCTGAACCATTGTAACTAGCTCTCCAAACTCCGAATTCCAGCCTGAATTTTTGGGGACTCGATTTCCTACAAAACCTTTGGCCCCAATCTCCCAGGTCCAGCAACAGAGCTCTCCTTAAGTGAGCATTTCTTGCCCACAGAGCCTGCTCTATGCAGTTACAATATGCGATGTTGTGAATTATGAAGATTCACATTAGATATGACCACATCCATCCATTATCAATTGTGCGTATTAGTCATCTGCACTCTGATTGGCCACTTAGAAATAGGTCTCAAGTTCATCTGTTTACGTGGGCATTTACCTCTTATCCAAAGGCACCTGCTTGGGTGTTTGCAAATAAATAATCATTTATTTTGTTTTAATTTCAAGAATCTTTTTATTTATATTTAATTATATATTATTATTTTGTAATTCAATATGTCCATCGTGTGTTGCAATGAACATACATAATGCACCTATTTGCCTGATGATCTTTATTGGTGCTAATTTTGGGGTAAGACTTATATTACAAGTATTCTAAAAAATCATACTGGGTTTACTTTCCAGTTAAGCCCTGTTTAGGGGGAAAAGTGGTATCTGCCCCTGTGAATCCACTTAGGCAACAACTCAGTCTCTCTCCATTTACCCAAGGATTTCTCTCCTGTGTTGCCCCGTCTCGGCTCTAGTTAACCTTTTTCCCTCTTAGTGATATCATTCTCTTAGCACACACATGTATGGACTGCTGTTTCTCCCACACTGAGAAGCAAACATGAAACCAGATGGCACATTCCTAACTACTATTTCCCTCTTTTATTGAAACATTATTCTAAAGGTTTATCTATGTTTGTTCACTTCCCTTTCCTTTCCTTATCGGCTTGCATAACCCGTTTCCCCACTGAAA